ATGCTAATTAAATTATTCTAAATTTTACACAGTCTCATAGCAATGTTTTATCGTAAACTATTACCATTTTGACCACGGTTCACTCTTGAAGAAAACTAGCAATTTAGAAAGCGTACAGTAGTCCCAAATTTATAATATGTGGCCAAAAAATGACAATATAGTTTAATAAATCGGAAAATTAATATAAGAATTTTTTTGAAATAGTTTACTACAAATCTAATATTAGTATTTTAACAAAAAGAATTGGTAACACACAACTAAAGATAATAACTATGTCAATTTAAATGAAAGCAATGTTATTTGTGCCGAGATCGTTATTTTAAACGTGTCCTTTTTTATTGTAATTATCGATAGGATTGTTAAATCTGTGGTAGATAGGTAAACATGAACTACTTTTCACGAGATAATTTTTTTGATAATAAAGACTATTATTTAGGTAAATTACAACAAAATTACTTGGCTTCTTTCTTTTTCCATTTGCAGTCTTTGACGTTGGATTGTCACTTGAAGATGGTATTAATCTCTTATCTTAATTGTAGATTTTATACAAAAATTTTTCAATAGGATCTAATATGTTATCCTCAGATAAGAAAAACTGGGTGATTATTATAAGTGTCGAGAACTATATATATAGATTTATTTCTATCAATTGCTATCGCATTCAGCATTCTATCTTAATTGGTACAATTTGGATATTGATCGTTTTTATTAGCTACCCCCATAGCAAGATCGCACCGGAGCCCTTTGATATATATGGTAAAAATATTATAATAAATAAATCCTCCAATCATTTTATTCTTGATTCTGTGCATTCATCTGATTCTCTAGAAACTTATTTTTTTTAAGGTTTCACTTCGAACACATGTGATCTGCGCACAATATTTTTTTTTTTATATATAAATAATAAAATGGATTTTTGGAAAATTAAATGTAAATGTAGAATCTTTGACTATGGATCAGGAATTACAGAAACCACCTCGCGGTGAGACTTTAATCGGTATTGATCGTGGTATACAACATCGCTTATCTTAACATTCAACGACCATCGACTTTTTATTGGACATCGATATAAGAATCTGAATTAAACAAATCATTGAAATATTAATTACTGTCGTGATCTTGACTTGTAAACAACTACCATTTTTAATAAACATACTTTTGTACCAGTTGATCATCCACCGGACGCATAATATAACTCTAGCGTGATCTTCCTAAATTTAAATGTAAACTTTGTTACAAAAATAATGCTTAGCCAATGTGACTGTGTAATATTATAATAGTTTACATGTTTAATTAATGTTCTCTTTTTTCCTTCTTCTGACACATCGTTTTTTTTGAAATAATGAAAATAAACACTTTGTTCTTTTATTCAAATAACTTGGAAAAATATGTAAATGTATGCATATTTGAAATAAACGTTTAAAGTGTATATAAATAGATAGTTTTAATAATTTTAGTAATCAAGTACTGTACTAATCTGTAAAAAAATAAAAATATAATCTATTATTTAATTATTTAATATGAAAATTCGTAACACATACAAATCTTAAGAAGTTTCACTTGAGTCGCCTTGAAATTCTAAGCGTTTTTCTTTCTAACGATATTTTTTAATCTAAATAACTAGTCTTGACAATCTATTACAACATGTGTTACTAATATTGAAAGCACGGAACCAGATACCAATAGGGCGATGGACAAAGGAAAATAACTAGCAAATACGAATGGAAAGAAAAGGAAAGATTATTTTCGGAAATACGCCGCTAAGAGTCGTTATGTTCTCTGATGTCTAGAGACTTTTTAGGAGAGACGCGCCATACATATTACTGGACTGAAAATTTGGGGGGACTGCTTCCGAGGCAACGCGCAGCCATGTTTATCTTTAGTATGTATTAACGGCTGTGGTTAGTTTATGTTTGGAATACTTATAGTTTTTATTGTGATATTTATATTTAATTGCTTTTTTTTTTCTTTTTTAGTAGTTTTCTGTAAGTGTAAGTTTAATTTACTTATTTAATAATTACAAGTATAAATGTACAAACCTAACCTATAACTTATCGTTTGCTTACAGACCTATTGTCTTTTATCAAATCAAACTTAATTGAATCTTTCTTATTGAAT